AGGGACGAACACACAATGTGGTGACCACTGTCCAGTAAGTGCTGGCCACTTGGTCTCTCTACACGAGCTACCGTGAATGTCATCCCTAGAGAAGTGCTATTTCCCAGTGGCTCTCCTGGCAGGCAGCTCTGATGGCCTGCTCTCTTCCTGAGGGTGTGCAGCAGTGTGGGTATCAGAACCAAAATGGCAGTCGGTGTTCTGGCTTTGGTGGGCATGCTGCCTCACCAGCCATGCCATCCCAGGGCAATGGCAGGTCCTTCCACGGGGTGTGTGGCAGCCTTTGTGTTGCTCTGATTCTCGGCATGGCCAACCCTACTTCTCTGCTTACTGCTGGAGCAGGGCCCAAGTATTTTGAGTCCCTGTTGCAGCAGCTTCTTGCCAGGCTTGCTTTGTTTGTTTTTGGTGCTGGAGGTCAAAGTTAGGCCCTTGTTTATACTAGGGAAGAGCTCTGCCACCCAGCGGTACCTCTGGCTCCCCAGCAAGCTTCTGGATACACAAGTCTCCCGTTGGTCTTTTGTTATCTGGTTCCTAGGCCCTGTTTTAGCCTCCCTGTTAGAGTCTCTGCTGCTTCATCAGCAAGGATGGTTGGGCAAAGGGTGGAAACATACTACCACCCTACCGTCTGCAGGCTTCAGCCTCTGAATCCTTCAGTGGAAGGAGAGAATATTAAGCCAAATGCTGGGTGTGTCTAGGTTGGAACAGGGACTGAGTGAACTCTTCAGAAATGCCAGTCAGAGCTAGACAGACCTTCATCTCTCTGTGACACTGACATCTCACAGGTACACTCTGGGGCCTCTTGGGAGCCCTGGTGAAGGTACACGTCGTAGATGTGCACGCAACTAATTTTGTATTTTGTTTTGCAATAAAGATGTTTAGCCTTAAGCCCCTTGAGTGGAAGTCCAGCTGCCATGGGGGTGCCAGTCCCCCTTTTTGCCCCATCTTCTTGTATGGCTTAGAAAAGAGGCCTGCCTAAGTTCACTCTGGCCCTCAGATGCCCTCTCCTACCCAAACGTCCCTGTTGCTGCTGCTGTTCCATGTACTGCCTTCTTACTCGCTTCAGTAAAAACCTGTCTTCACCAGCTCCTGTGCTCTCCACCTGGAGGAATCCTCAGAGTCCTCGAAGCACCGACCCTAAGCTTTTAAGAAAGGACCATTTCCCACCCAAGGTGTTGATATGGAGACGCATTCCTTGCCGCCTCTCACACAGTTCAAAGGAATCAATGTGAATTTACCTGCAGCTTAAGTGGGTCTCAAGTGAAACGTCAGTCTCCACATGAGCGAGCGAGCGAGCGTCTCAGAACCTTTAAAGAAGGTCTTGAATTCCTGCGGGTGCCAGACCTGATGGGGGCAATCTCACCTGCCACTTGACCTTCCTTAGAGCTACTGACTCTTTCCCTGTGACTTCTGGGTCATCCCGTCGATCGACCCCTTAGTCCTTGAGAAGTTCACAGCTCTCCTCTCAGAAGACAGACTGCTTCTCGGTAAGAACACAGCTCCCCGCCCCACCCCCCATGAATGTAGCCTCTTAATATTCAGACACTGTATTTTGGCATCAGTTGGAGACTGTCCACATCCAAGTTGCAAGGACAATTATACTCACGAGCAGTTCGTCATCCTGGGACTTCTCATACACTCTCCATCAAATCCTGCCAAGTCCTTTATTGGGGTTTTGTTTTTTTGGTTTTTTTTTTTTTTTGGTTTTTATTTTTGTTTTTTTTTTCCTCTGTCTGAATGAGCATGAATAAACAGGTGCAAATTAGCTGAGGCTATTTTTGTGGTCAGCCGAGGATGCTGCCGAGAGCTCCCCTGTGTGGCTGTGAGGATGTGGAGACATGTGGACGCTCTGTGGATGATACCCCTTTTCTTGACATTTTTAAACAAGCACAAATGATATTTGTAAAAAAAAAGTTTAATTTTATTTATTATGGTAATAAACTATTTTATACGTGATACTTATGTTGGTCTTTTCTTACATACTTATGTCATTCACTGAGGTGCTTTCTCTTCTTCCGGCTGTTTTATGCTCTGTTCTACATGAGTGGCTGGCTTACAACCACCTGCAACTCCAGGTCCAGGTGATCCAATACCCTCCCTCTTCTGGCCTCTGAGGCACCTGCACACACATGGCATGCAAAAATGTAACAATAAATTAAAAAAAAAAAGTTACATGGGAAGCTCTGATGTGGATGGTTCCTTGCATTAGTCAGTTTTCATGTTGCTGTGATAAAATACCAGACGAAGCAACTCTCAGAGAGGATTTATTTTAGCTCATGGCTTGAGGATGTAGTCTACCCATCAGGCCAGGGAAATCATGGCAGCGGAAGCTTGTGGTAGTGGGTCACATGTCATAGTGCACCCTCAGGAAGCAGAGAGAGATGGATGCCGAGGCTCAGCTCTCTCTCTGCCCATCCTGGCCCTGCCCCCTTTAGGCAGTCCAGTATCTCAGCCCAGGGAATGGTGCCACCTACACTCAGGTTGTGTTTCCCAATCTAGCAACCCCTCAGAGACAGGCCCAGAGAGCTATCTTCTGAAGTAATCCTAGATCCTGTCAAGCTGACAGTCGATAGGAACCTATAATGGATTGGGGAGAAATATAAAATCGTAGGGACAGCATGCTTCATGTCTAAGTGTTGTTCATGGATTGACCTCGGCGAAATTGGGCAACCTTGTTCTCTTAAAGGTTCTAAGGAAGTTCTGCCTCTGCCATGAACTTGAGAGCCTGCCTCTAAGATCTTGGTCTTAAAGATCCAGGTCCTTCACAGCCCTGCCTGCCATCACAATGGCATCAAGTTTCAATATGAGTGTCAGAGGGACAACCCACATTCAAATCATAGCATTTGCCTTAACATAACCTCTTAGGCCCACCTCCCGTTTTAAAGTGATGGTTTTCATCTTGAACAATTTGACATGGATTTTGGATAAAATACATTAATGTTTTCCCTACTTTTGAATAGACAGCAAAACCCACAACCCAGTGTTCCCTAAATGACTGTCAACAGCACTGAGTTCTTACCCTGCTTCACTATAGTTTGCAGAGTTACCGAGGCAAAGCCTCAAGCAGTCCTACTCAGTGTTATTCCACAGGCACTGAGTCAGATTCCACAGGACTGCCATCCTATGAATTATTAAGACTCAGTGACCATAAAGTCAAAAAGCACTCCTCTCTTTGCAGACAGTGGAACTTAATTCTGGAATGAGATCCATTATGTGAAGCCAAAATCAGGACATGGAGAGCCTCTCTAGCCATATGGCAAGCACATGGTGTTTTTAAGGACAACCCTTCAGTCCCCTATCTCATTACACTACAGAAGGGCACAGCAAAACTAATGATGACATTGTTTAAAATCCCAAATAACTAGTGCTCATTTCAAACGCATTGCTAAATAAAGGGCTGAACATTAAGTGTGTCTTTAATCTTTAATGGTTAAAACAAAGAGACAAACCCATAAATAGCATTTTTGTAACTAATTAACAAGTCTAGAAACAGAGACAAAACTAACTCATACTACCTTTGGGGTAACAAGTGGGACTCAACCTTATTGTATACATACATCCTGATATGTTTGCTAAAAGTATAAACATTACAGTTAGTTTCTACTACTTAGCTAACCAATAGTTATATTTTTAGAAAAGCAAAGAAAAAAGTCTCAAGTTCTGTAAGGAAAGCCCCACTAACTACCACTACCACATACACTTGCTAACAGCTAGATCCTACGGGTATAGGTAATTTTCTCTCTAGGCCATCATCCTCAATAGGACAAGGACTGTGTTCTCATACAACTTGCAAGCATAATGTCATTCAGTGTTCTGTGTGGTTCCTAGAATTTATGATGACAGCAGGACTTTGGTTGGCATTGGGCATCTTGATCCCCTAGATACTGGCTGGGTGGTTGATTAATTGCTCATGGAACTGGGTCAGGGGGTCAGAGAATCCTGGAGCTGGCAGTGACTCAAGATCTTACCCAGCTTGCTTCCAGAACTGTCTCGGAAGTTGTCCTGGTGGATGAGGTGATTGACTACTGCCCAGGAACCAGACTCAAGGTTCTAGCTACAGCAAGTGGAGACTACAGAGGACAGTTCTCCTCCATCATGTTACATGGGGGAGCAAGGAAAGGTGACACAACTGAGCCCTGGATAATCTACACAGAGAGCTAACAGCCAGTCTCCACTAGCTGCAGAGCTTGTGACTGAATCAGATCGTTTTAATAAACTTCAGGATTATTATGGCCAACCACTCACTGACTAGTCCAGTGTACTGTCATAGATAGGTTTGCCTTTCTGTAAACAGCTTCTCTGGAAGAGTTCAACATCGCCTGAGTTATTTACAGATGTCCTACATTAGTTACTTCCCTACAGTCATTTTTACACTACGGGTTTTCTCAGTGAGTCCTTTTCTAACTTGAAGGCTTCAGCCAGACTCCCTCTGACTGACCACAAATACTCTGTTGGTCCAGGAAATCGCGCCCATTTCAATGGTTGCCACTCACATCCTTAGAACTTCCCAGCACCCCACAGTCGCCTGCCCTGTGTCTCCCTGATTACCAAGCCAGCTGCTGAGGTTACTAATGCCCAGCTAACCTGCCTCTTTCTAACTTGTGCTTTGTTCAGGGAGCACAGTGTGCCCATCCCAGGCCATCAACATCTCTCTTGCAAGCATGGCAGCTTAGGAAGGAAGGGGATCTACCTGATGGCGGGGTGTGCCTCACAAGGGTGCGTGTTCCGTTGAGCTGACATTTCCAGGGACGATCTCAGACACTGTCACTTAGAAAATGAGATAGCGAGAAGCCCAACTGATCTTTCTCTTGTCACATGGTTACAATTCATGGAATAGTTGGGGCATTAAGCATTCGTTCCAAATTCCACACACAGAGCTTCAGAACTTCAAGCTCCTTCCCTTCCCTCCTCCTCATGAACCCAGAGCCAAACAGAACCTCTGTGACACTTGTCAGCAGCTGTCCAGCAGCTGTCTAGAGGGACAAAGTATAAAGACACATGTGTTTAGATCTTAAAATTTTTATTTAAAAATATCCAAAATAAGTCTAGAAGAAAATCAGAATTATCTATGTAGCAAAAACAAGTTCTGCTTTTTTTTTTTTGAAAAAATAATAGTAAGGCAATAAAACCCACTGAGTAAAACACATGGGACCTTGGGATGCCACTCTCCCCTGAGGCCTTGTCCAATACCACCTGTGTGTGGACATCTTACTCTCTGGCTTTTGAATTCCACTTCTGTGCAGAACGGCTGTGAGAGGAACCACCGTGTTACTCCATGGCTACAGGTCTCAGAAAGCAGCTGGTCATGTGTGGACTCCCCAGTAAAGTTCAAATTACAGAACTCTTTGGAAAGCCCCAGCTGCACATCACTCACTTTAGCTAGGTCACCTGCAACATGAAATATGGTTTTCCTGTTTCCCTGTCTAAGGACCATTCATGCAAAAGTTAGTCCAGAGCCTCCAGTGCAGCACAGAAAGTAGTCATCAAAGTATCACAGAATTTCCCAGAAAGACATTCCAAGCATGACAGGACAATCCCTAACCAGGACTTCTATGTCAAAACACATGTCTGCCACACTGAATCTTTGGTAGAGAAGAAAAAATCAAACAGGTCTATGGAAGGTTCTAGAACAAAGTATAGTCAGGAAAAACCTGAGACTGCTCTAGACTGTACCTTAGGCATCAGGAAGCTTATGGGGGGTACATAAAAAATCTCTGAGGCTCCAAAGCTAGAAGATGTTTGGGTTGTATATTTACTGTAATTGATCAAGCTGCCCGTCGTGGAATCTTCAGCAGAAGATGAGTGTAGGTGGTCACTCAGGGACTGTCCTGGAGTGGAAGGTGGTCTCTCAGGAACTACCCTAGAGTGGAAGATGGTCCCTTAGGGATTGTCCGAGATTGGAAGGTGGTTCTTCAGGGATGGTCTCAGAGTGTAAGGTGATCCCTCAGGGACTGTCCTGGAGTGGAAGGTGGTGGTCTTTCAGGGATGGTCTCAGAGTGAGCAGTCAGGATGAAATGCTAAGTCCCTTGGAGGCTGAGCTGGTCCAGCAGCCATAAACAGTTAAAGAACTGTGTATGTCTGAGCCCAGGCAATGCCCACATGTGAATAGCAGTACAGGAATCCCAGGACAGACAGGGTCACCCATGGCCACCCTGTGTGAAGAGACAGAGAGAAAGAATAGTTAGAATACCTGGGTGGGACCTCCCTCATGGGCAAATTGTCCCCTAAGGAGATGGCAACAGAAACACAGGCCACCAGAAAGCCAGCTTTCTCTGGACCCAGCAGGTGGGGTCCTGTGTTCTCACCAGGGTCACTGTGAAGCAATGGTTTCATTACTGCAAAAGCAAACACACTTAGAAACGGGGCAAGCTTTTAAAGAGCATGTCCTATGGAGACTAAAGCAAATAACCAGGGAGAAGATGCCCTTGTGGGTACCAGAGTCAGTCTTCAAATGCACGCCAGCTGTTACATTAAACACAAGGTCACTTTCTAGCATATAGAAAGGTGGACCCTAGATTAGATATTAGATCTCAAAACTCAGAACATAAGGCTGGAGAGACGGCTCAGCATTTCAGAATGCTGCTGCTTTTGCAGAGGTCCAGAGTTCAGTTCCTAGCACCTACATGGTGAATCCCTGTAACTCCAGGTCCAGAGAATTAATGCCCTATACTGGTCTCCACAGCCACTGCTGTATGTTTTACACATATCTACACTCAGATACACACAGGCACACACACTCAAGCATGCTTGCACACTTGCACACACATGCACACATACATGTATACACTCAGGAACACACACATTACACATGTGTGCAATACATATATACATACTAAGGAACATACACACATGTATACGTGTATACACACATACACACGCACACATATATACTCAGGCACACACACAAATGCACACATGTATGTATACAAGTATACAAATATACACATGCATGCACACACACATGCATGCACACTGAATAAATAAATATATCTTGCGAAAGACAACTGTCAAAGTTTGGGGCTGGAGAGATGGTTCAGCCATTAAGAGCACTTACTGCTCTTGCAAAGAACATGGGTTCAGTTCCCAGATTCCACATGGCCATTTTCTTCTGGCCTCTGGTACCAGGCACACGCACACTACACGTGCATATATGCAGACACATACAAATAAATAAATAAACAAACAAATAAATAAATAGATAAATCTCTGAAAACAGACCTCAGAGCTTTAAGCAGCTCCTTCAACAATACACACACCTTAGGGTATCTGATCTATTCTTGTTTTTAATATTAGCGTCAGACTTTCTTGGGGACATCAGAGAATTGGAGGTACTGTAGAATATCAGAAGCCAAACTCCACAGGCTCAGTCCTGTGTTAGCGGTGCTCCCGGGCTACCTCAGGTAAGACAAGCACACACAGTAGGGCTTACTACAATCTTTAACCTATGCACTAGGTAACAGCATACAGAATGTACAAAGCCTATTTAAGCTGGGGCACATGGAATGAGCAAGAGTTTTCCAGTGGAAAGGACAGGGAGAGGTCAGAGTAGCTCGGGTCACCAAGGGACAGGGCTCATGTGACACAGGTGCTGCATAGGGCTGGGTACAAGTCGGTAGAATTATGGGTAGGAAAAAGTTCTAATGACCTTCAGCTGCCATTTTTATTCATTTGAGCTCTCTGTGTCATTGTGCCAGGCTCAAGTTCAGGCCCTGACAACGCTGCCATCCCAGCCTTGACACAGTCACGAATTTCGAAGGTTAGATCAACATTTTGAAAACAGCCTAACTGTTGCACTTATAAATGCAAGTGGAGTGGTCCAAAGCCCTGCACGGTGACAGAAATGTGGTTGGTACTAGAGAAAAGGCAGTAGTGATGGGGTAAAGATCATGGAAATGTGTCTCCCGAAAGACCAGAGTGACAGCAGGGACACTGAACCCCGGACTTCTTCCCAACCTTCCTGTAGACTGGCTTCCACGTGGCATCAGAGTGACGGTCCATCCCATACCTGCTAATGTAAGAGTCATCTATGGTGACTAAAACCAGTGCCTTGCAACTGCCTTCGCTAGCTACAACTGAAATGACTGTACTTCCAACAGACAACATGCCCAGAGGTTCCAGGAACACATGAATCTGGAAGGACGGGAGATACAGTTCAGGAAGGTTGGGTATCTTTCTAAGGATAACGTTCTAAGGAACCCTGCAGGAGGGTCCTGTGAGTCTAGACACCTGCAGCTCTCTGTACTCTGGTTGAGACACAGTTTCAAGGCACCAGTCAGCAGGTTCAGAGTAGGACAGGCACAGGAAGTATCCCCGGACTTCAGCTGTGTTTGGGGTGAGGCATCACTGGGTGTTTGGTCAACATAGAGCCCTGAGGCCACCTGCAGATGTGGGCATGTAGGTGAGTTTCACTTATACAAAGCTGGGCCTAGAACAGCTGCGACTGATGATTCTGTTTGTCCGAAGCCACCTCTGGGAAATCTTTACCTGTAAGACAGAAGGGTCCTTCATCATTGGGAGATGGGCTCTTAGGATCCCCTTGCTCTTATATACCATGAAAAGAGGCAGCTGGGCAACCAGGCAGACGTTTGTCATCTGGACACGATACCTTAGTAAAGTCTTGTTTTCCCCATCTACTCAGTGGGAGCACAAAACAGATTTTGAGGGGTAAACAACCTCACATGTTCATCATAGCTGGAGCTGGAGTGCATTACATAAATCCAAGAGTTTGAAAACACCTGGGCAACACAGCAAGATCCTCTCCCCCAAAAGCCACACAAAGACATGAGCACAAGCCATCCTTCCAACTATGCCAGCAATACTCCACCCTCTGTGTGCCTGGCTCCATGCTAGACCTGAACATCAGAGAATATTGCAGGCACAGTCCAACCAAGGCGGTGCTAACCCAGCCCTGGAGTGGCACAAGGGGTGGAAGTATGGTTGGGCAGAGCCTCCTCCTCAGAAGAGGACAGCAGCACTCTGAGGACCACTGTGATGTTTAGTCACCCAGGCTTGTCAGTCATTAGAAGATGGAGCTAGAATGAGTCTGTCCTGTAAAAAGATGCTAGTCTCCCTCTACCCCTTCCCAGCTTGCCAGATTCAAGACTGTAGAAACTTCTAGGCTTTTTTTTGACAGCTTGACCTCACTACCTAAACAAGTGGTAAGTTTAAACAGGTAATCGCTGGCAACCGGAAATGCTGTGGCTAGATTGTAAGGCTGTGGGAACACTGAACATGGTGGACTTGGCAGGCAAGAGCAGTTTCCATGTAAGTGTAGAGAGAGTGCAACCGAGTCACTTGTGGTGATCAGTGCAGTTGGAATAGGTGGTGTTAATACGGTTAATACAGCTAATCCGGTTACGGTAGTTACACAGGATATGGGAAGCGGTGCCCTGACTACAGCCAACAGGAGGGAGACAGCTATGGAAAACTGGGCAGAGATTTTTCTTGAGGTTATCATGATTGAGCTGTTCTCTCAGCAGTTTTAACGGTCTGAAAAGAAGGAACAGGCTGAGATACATGAGCAAACAGCTGTTATCAAGAGGGGCCTGGAGAAGCCAAAGCATTGTTTCTGGGAAGGGGAAAAAAAGAGTCAGAAATAGGAGAGGGTCTAATAAAACACTGTTGGGGAGGTAATGTCACAGGGCTGGAGAGAGCGCTCAGTTGGTAATGCCCTGGCCTTGTGAGCATGAGGACCTGAGTTTGATCCTTACAACCGTCATGAAAATAGAAAATTATGGCCTGCATCCCCCAGGCTTGCTGCCAGAGCAGCGAGAGATCTGCCTCAAAAGAAGACAAGGTTTGAGGAAGATATTCAGGCTCGAGGGATGATGCAGCAGTTAACAGTAGAGACTGTTCTTCCAGAGGACCTGGGTTCAATTCCCAGCACCCACATGGCAACTCACAACTGTCTGTGCCTCCAGCTCCATAGGATCCAGTGCTTTCTCTGGCTTTGTCACCAGGCATACATTCAGTACACAGAAATACTTTCAGGCAAACCATCAACATATAAAATAATTTTTTTAAAAAAAATGAAATTTGACATGCAAGCTTCTCCTCTTTCCTCCCACACAGGCAGATCGTACGTGCACATCTGCATACACCAGTGTACCTCCCACACAACACGCAAGGTCCCTGCAGCACCCACCATGGAGGTTCCTCTAGATATCAAACCACACATAGATTCACATGTGACTGAAGACTCCAAAGCAGAACCTACAAGAGATATTGCACGCACAGAGTCGCAACATAAAGGTACAAGCAACCCAAGCTGGCAGGTGATCAGGTAAACAGTGTGGTATGTACACTCAGATATCAGAGAGAACACAAATTCTGACAAATGTAGCAGCCTCTGTGGACCACAAGGACTGCAAAGATGTTGCGTCATGTACAAAGCCAGACACAAAGAAACACGTATGTGATCCCAATTATACGAGGCCCTACAGTGGCTGGATTCATAGAATCCGGTGCAAGCATTAGCACGGGTGGAGAGGAGAGAGAAACAGGAAGTACTTGATGAAGACAAAGTTTCGGTTTTGTGAGACAAAGAAAGCTCTAGAGATTGGACGGTATCGACAGCTACATAAAATGCAAATGTTCTTAATGTCCCTGGACTATATTTAAAAATAGCTGAAACACATTTAAGTTATGTACAATTTACCACAATAAAAAAAATGAGGCTGAAACCCTTGAGAAAAATAATATAGAGTAAATTAATCCGTTTATAAGAATTGCTAACAATTTATAATGGCAACAATCTGTGGTTACTGGGAGCTGGGGCAGAGGAGCCCAGGTGCTGAGGGCAGTAAGTGTCTCCCTGGGAGTGAGGCCTATTTAGGGGAACAGGATCCACAGGTAGGCAAGCAGGCAACAGATTCAGGGATAGCCCCTGCTCCTGTTCTTGGGGACCAAGCTACTCGTCTGCTACGTATGTCCAGGGAGCCTAGGTCCAGCCCATGCTCACTCTATGGTTGGTGATTTGGTCTCTGGGAGGCTCCCCAAGGGTCCAGGTTAGTTAACTCTATTGGTCTTCCTGTGGCGCCCCTGTCCTCCTCAGGTCCCTCAATCTTTCCCCCAGCTCTTCCATAAGACTCCCAGATCTCCATGTAATATTTGGCTGTGGGTATCTGCAGCTCCTTCCATTGGCTGCTGGGTG